GGTCAGGGCTGGGGCTGGGGCTCAGCGGTAGAGTGCTCGCCTTGCACGTTCGAGATCCTGGGTTCAATCCTCAGCACTACATAAAAATAAACAAGTGAAATAAAGGTATTGTGTCCAACTACAACTAAAAAACATATGTATATATAAAAAAAGAATATTCAGGTCAAAGCAAGGCAGATCAGGAGTCTGAATTAAACATCCCCAGAGCTCTTTCCTCTGAGGCAGTCTGTATAGAGATCAGTTCCTGTCCCGCCTATCCTGGCCTCCACCATGCCTTCCACACACTCTAGACAGCCAGGGTAGCCTGTGGACACGGATGGTAGTCTTCGTTGTATCGGGCTTGCACTGTGTTTGTGAAACACCTTCATATATGTGTGGTCTGTCTTTCTTTTCTTTTGATTTAGTCTTGCATGTACTGCAGGGTTTGGCTTTCCCAAAGCCTCCCTCCTAATCACTGAATTGTGTGGGCACAGCTAAGAATCTCTACTCTGGTCTTAGGGCTTCCCTTTCTTCTGCTGACTAGAAGAGCTATTCCAGCCAAACCCAGAGAATTAAAGCAGCCTTGCATTCAGTCACTAATCTAGAGCAAATACTACAGAGTGGGGATGGCTATATCTTGTCCTGAGTGTCATTGTAAGTGGGTTGGGAAAGCTAAACATAAAGCCTTTGGTGAAACATGTAAATTAGCTGAGCTTAACTGGGGCTCCATCTTCTAGTCCTCTTGGTTCTTTGTTACAGTACCATCTGCCAGCATGACCCGGCTCGCCCGATCTCGAACCCACTCAACCTCGAGTAGCATTGGCTCTGGAGAAAGTCCTTTCAGCCGGTCTGTTACCAGCAATCAGTCAGATGGAACTCAAGAATCCTGTGAGTCCCCTGATGCCCTGGACAGACACCAGACCATGGAGGTGTCCTGCTAAGCAGTTGCTCCTCCCCGGACCATGCAAGTCTACCCTTCTTCAGACGACACTCCATAATATAACATTTCATCCCGTAAACTGGCCTCCTCTATCTTTAACTCATGCATGGCCACTGAACCTCTCCTAGTAATCTGGATTTATCATTCTCTGCCCACCTACCCTTTTTTTGTATCTTCCAAGAACCACATTCATGCCATTACTGTAACATTCCAGCATCTTTAGCTGATCTGATCTCCACATCTTCTCTTGCCAGCTTTTTCCTATGTTCCCCTAACGATGTATCTGATAAGATTCTTCTATCCCAACTCCATGTGTGTGCAAGCACGTGTGTCTGTGTTTGTGTGTGCATAGTTCTGTGATTTTAGACATGCTTCCTTGTGGCGCTTCTGCAAAAAAAGAAAAAGGGAATTTTTTTTTGCATTCCCAATGGTGTTTTTGAGGAAAACGTGCAGAACAGATATTTAAGTGGGGAAAGCCACTAGATTCTCATCTGGTTCCAAATTGGTCAACAAGATTTGCAGAGTGATTTCTGAAGAGAGCAGCTCTGAGGAATGTGGAAAAGCATAATTACTGTTTGTACCAGTGATTGATTGTGACCAATGGTAGAAGTGTTGCCTGTCACATAGAGAGGTAGGCAAAGGGGCCAGCCACCTTCCTTTGTCCAAGTGGATTCACATATGCATCCTATAAAGAAAAGGGAGGGATATATCCTACTAGGAGCCCATGAACAATGAGGTTCTAATACAACAGGGAGTTTACTCCAAAGCAGTGGCTTAATTACTAGATCTTAGCACAGAAAGGTGGAAAACAAAATGCCAGGCCTCCGCTCTGCTGTCGCTGAGCATCTGTTACCATTTATCAGACATCTACACATCTACAAGAAGTGCCTCCCAAGTCTGTGGTGGAGAGTGGTTCTCCATTCCTCAGTCCCAAAAAAGGGAGAGGTATGGCCGAAAAATATGGTGAGGACATGAAAGGGCAAGAGCAATGGCCATTAACACAATTTCATGTTGAGTAACTATAGCTATGATTTCAGCAGACTCATGGAAGACAAACTAAATGGATATAGAACCCACTTCTGAGAAAGATTCTTAGAGGGGGGAGGGGCCAGTCTGTAAGGGCAGTCACGTCCAGGTAAAATTATAGCCTCCATCTGCTGTCAGCAAGGAGGTCACTGCTGGGAGGAGGGTGAGATAACTGTGGAAATCCATGCCATAAACAGGAGCCCAGCTCTCAGAAGCAGGAGATGCAAGCTCAGGGTTACACAGTTCCGAATCTTGAGAAGAGACTTTTCAGACACATTGTTTGCTTTCTGCCAAGATAAGGAATGCATCACTCTGCCAGAGTACAACTTTTTACAAATTATTAAATAAAGCTGTATATGTCTCATTGTTACCTGATTGCTGGTGTTATTTTTCTCAAGCCACTCATTGGGGCTCAGGGAGTGGCTGAATACTGTGTGCTGGTTCTATGCTCTACATTTTCACATTTGTGATCACTTATCCCACCCAGTAACACTATCCATTTATAGGGAAGAAATGAAGCTTCAGGATAATTTGCCCAAGGTCATACAGCTAGTAAGCGCAGCCTAGACTAAATCCAAGTCCACCTGACAATGCTGTTGTTGATGGAGGAGAAGCTGAGGTCTGGGAAAGGCATTCCACATCTTGGCTCTGCCATGTGTGTGGAATTGCTGGATCCCACCCATCAGGTAATAATCTGCAACCACTTTTCTGGAGTTCTTTAAGAGACTAGGCTGTGTCCCTCCATAAATGGCTGAATTTGCACCCATCAAGAATAATTTCAGGCCAGGTTCAGTGGTGCATGCCTGCATGTAGTCAAGCTCCTCAGAAGACTGAGGAAGGAAGATCACAAATTCAAGACTAGTCTGGGCAACTTAGCAAGACCCTGTCTCTGAATAAATGAATCAAATGAATGATGGAAAAGGGGGATCTGGGGGGTGTAATGCTGTGGTAAAATACATTCTTAGTATGTGAGAGGCCCTGTGTTTGAACCCAGCACCAAACAAAGGAAAGAAAGGCTCACATACTTCAAGTTCTCATGGCAGCTCTGCAAAGTGGGAGCATCTATTTTACAGACAAGGAACAATTCATAAAAGTTGAGTGATTTGACCAAAGTCACCTAGCTTGAAAAAGTAGTTTCTAGTTCTTCCAGAATCAATGCATTTTTATGTTTTCTTCAGCCTTTCATTGAGCACCTTTAATAGGCAAGGCCCTTAGCAATAAGTTGCCTTCTGTTGACCCAATGAAATGGATACAGAAACAGGCCCAGAGTTAGTTTACATTGGTCACGAAACTAATAATTTGGCTATATGGGAAAGTTCCCTTCACTCCATTCAACACTTCTGTGACAAATTTATGGGGTTTTTCCCTATACCAACTAATTCTCTTAACAGTTTGGACACCAACTAGGTATCTTACAATTCAATTAGAACACTATCTAGAGTTAGTGCAGACCCTATAGTCCCACAAGCACCCCCCACTTCACATGCCAGTTGGAAGTAGTAAATCCCATGTTACTCACACTTCTGTACAACTAGCGTACAAATCTGATTCACACAGCTGTCTCCTCAGGCTTGGCCATTTGTTTTGATGGCTCACCGAACTCAGGAAAGGTGTTTACTAGTTTATTAAAAAGGATAAGCCAGGCATGGTGGCACACACCTGTAATCCTAGCGACTTGGTGGGGGGATGGGGGCTCATGAGTTCAAAGCCAGCCTCAGAAACTTACTGAGACCTTGTCTAAAACAATAAAGAGGGCTAGGGATGTGGTTCAGTGGTTTAAACACCACTGGATTCAGTCCCCATTACCAAAAACAAAGGATGCTCCTCTCCTTTGACTCTTTCAGCTCTGTTACCAAGTCCCTGCAGAGATACATATCAAACCAGCCTTCCCTGGGAGCAAGGGATCAGCCGAAGTGAGCTCTTACTAGCAAGGAACCAGATAAGGTGGCAGAGTCTGAACTAGATTAAGAGCATTTCAGTACAATGCAAGTTTTTGTGTTAAAGAGCAGCTGTCTCCAGGAGTATCAGGCCCCTTGAGGGGGAGGCAGCAGGTGGCTGCATTAAATTTTAATGAGCTGTGGGCAGTGTAGTTCTGTCAGATCCTTTATCCTACACCGCAGATCCTCAAGCTAAGACATGCATCAGAATCACCTAAAGTACTTTTGAAAACATTGGGGGGAGGGTGGTGTTGTGGCTCAGTGGAAGAGGCTAGTCTTGCATATGTGAGGCACTGGGTTCAATCCTCAGTACCACATAAAAATAAAGGTATTGTGTCCATCTACAAATGAAATTAAAAAAAAAAAAAGCAACATTTCTGGGCCCTGACCTCAGCATTTCTGATTCAGTAGATCTGATGGAAACTGAGGATTTGCATGTCTAACAAATTCCCAGGTGATGCTGAGGCTGCTGATCTGGTACTGAGAAATACTGTTGATATTTCCACCCAATACTGGGGATTGAACCCAGGGGAATTTTCCCGCTGGAGAATAAACCCAGGACCTTAAATATGTTAAGTACTTTGGTGGTAGAACTACCACTGAGGTATAGCCTCAGCTCCCAGATCTTGTGTAATTCCCAGACCAGCACAATGGATATCATCTTGGAAGCTTGCTAGAAATGCAATATGTCAAGTAAGCACAGAGGCTCCCTAAGGAGCATGGATCCCTGTCCTATCATATGATCCCAGGTACTCCGGAGGCTGGTGTAGGAGAATTGCAAGTTCAGAGTCAACCCAGACCAATTAGTGAGACCCTGTCTCAAAAAACTAAAAAGGATCAAAGAGCAGGGGGTGTAGCTCAGTGGTAGAGCACCCCTGGGTTCAATCCTCAGTACTGCCAAATAAAAAATATTTTTTTTTCTTGTACCAGGGATTGAACTTGGGCACTCGACCATTGAGCCACATCTCCAGCCCTTTTGTTATATTTTACTTAGAGACAGAGTCTCACTGAGTTGCTTAGTGCCTCAATATTGCTGAGGCTGGCTTTGAACTTGTGATCCTCCTGCCTCAGCCTCCCGAGCCGCTGGGATCACAGGTGTGTGCCACCGTGCCCATCTAAATTACTTATGAAGAGAAAAGAGATGCAGAAAGAGAGATGGAGAACAAAAGAAGATAAAGGGGGAGAGAAGGAAAAAAGGAAGGAGGGAGAAAGAAATGCAAAATCTTGCTGCACACAGTGTCGTACACCTGCAATCCTGGCTACTCAGAAAGCTGAAGCATCAGGATATAAATTTCAAGCCTAGTTTGGGCAACTTGGTGAGGCCCTGCCTCAAAAAATAAAAAGGGCTTGGGATGTAAGTTAGTGGTAGAATATTCCTGAGTTCTATACTCAGTACCACAGAAAGAAAGAAAAATGCCAAAATATGAGCCCTACTTCAGACCAACTGAAGCAGAATCTATAGTTTAGGGCTGGGGATGCAGCTCAGCGGTAGAGCACTTGCCTAGCATGCATGAAGTCCTGGGTTTCATCCCCAGCACCACAAAAAAGTAAAGTGTGGGAAGGCAGTACTTCCCAAACTTACCAAAGGATTCTCTTGGAATATTTAAAGTTTAATTTGTAGGCTTCTCCTCTGACAACCTAAATTCAGAAGGCATGAAAGGATCCAAGAAACAGTAGTACTAAAATTAAGTTGCTTCAGTGATTACTATGGTCAGGCCAGCATGGAAAACCCCTGCTCATTTCTCTCAGACCTGGACCAAGCCACAAAGCTGGAGAAGAACCTCCTGCTCTGAGATCATACAGAGGCAGCCACTGCTACCCTAGAAACAGGAACTTGGGCAAGGTGGCTCCTCGATGGTCTCTGATGCCGTCAGAGGAAGCGAGTGGTTGTGAGAACCACAATCTGCAGACAGAAGCCAGAGCTCAGAGGAGACATGCCTGTGTCTGTGACAGTCACAGATCCCTAGGCCACCTGCCTTGTCCTGCTGTGCTGGTGAGGATTGCCCAATCTGGGGTCCCTAAGGAGCCTGGGTCCCTGTCCTATCCTGGAGTACAAACTGCTGATCACAAGATAGATGCTGAACTAACCCACTCTGACATCAAGAGTCCTTCTGAAGTTCCTCCGAGTCTGAGTTCTGGGTGGCCTAGGACCAAGGACATTGGCAGATTTCCAGAAGGGACCCCCAAAGCCCTAAGCTTACCAGCCAAAGCATGGTTTTAGCTGATGCCCTGCCCAAGTCCCTGATGACAAGAAACCAGTAAGTATACTTGCTTCTGTTTCCTGGTGGGCTCAGCATAGATGAGGAAGAGTGATGCCCTCCAGGGCTGGGATGGGCTTTATTTACAGTTAGGAAGCAAATGTTCCAGGAGGAGGGGAGGTGGTTCTACTGGGACTGTAAGAGGTGGTTTCTGGGACCCTGAAAGAACTAAGATCCCCTCTCCCACTTTGACCACCTCCTGGAGATTTATTTTATTCTCCAGCTTGTTTTTGTACATTGCCTGTTCTAGACCCCTCTTGGTTAGTTACTTGTTGTGTGACTTTTGGCCCCTTTCTGGGCCATAGTCTTTCAAATTCAGATGAGTAAGAGGGCTGTGGATTATCCTCTCTGAAAACACCCCCAGCTGCCAGATCTTTCAAAGAGTGAGATTCTCAGTTGAAAAAGCAGGAAAGGGTTTGGGAGTGTACCTCAGTGGGGCCCTGGATGCTGTTCTCAACTCCAAAAAGAAAAAGAGCAAGAGGCCCCCCTTTAGCTTAATCCAAATTCCTCATTCTTACCCTCACTGCTGAAAAATGATCTTCATAGGCACCGAAGAGTGGATAGTAGTCCAGCTCTGCTCTAACCAGCTGCCCAAGCACAAAGTCATCCTCTCGGGCCCTGGTCCTTGCATCTGAAATGAGACTCAAGTGGGATGATCAGAACAAAGCCAGGCAGAGTGCTGATCTCAGCTGCCTTTTACTCTTTCCTGCCACCCACTCACACAGGTCCCCTAGAAAGTGCCTAGCACACAGTAAGTTGCTGAAGTATGTGTGGTTAATGATTCGATTTCCTCTTATAAATATTGCAGCCCACACCTCCTTCTCCTGGGCCTGCCCTGCTGCCACCTGGTCTTCATATTGCCTCAGGAGCTTCCTGGCCTGGACCAGATCAGGTGGAGAAAGCTGCAGAGCCCAGCATACATGCAGCTCCCTTATTGCCATGGCACCCATCCCCCAGCCCCACTTGCAAAGAAGTCCTCTCTGAGTTGATTGCAGTTGATGATTGTGGTCTTGCTGAAGGAGGGGAAAGGAAACTAAGCCTTACTGACACCTGCTCCATGCCAAGCTCCTCCCCTTCTCCTCACAACCCTGTGGAGTCAATATTACGATTCCTGCTTTGTCTAAGGTCACACAGCTCAGACCAGATAAGTCTGAATAAGTCTGAGTAAGTCACCCATGCTACCCAGGTCAGATGGAAAGTGAAGCATTTGTCCTGTACCTCATACCCAAGGGGTAAGGATGGGCTGGGGCAGCAGGGACGCTGAGGAACCAAACTGAAATGGTGCCCTAGCGCTTAGGGACCTAGCGCTCTCACTGGGCAGCAGCACCATCTCACTCCAACGCTGCCAGAACCAAAAAGACTGAGTAAAAAATGTGCCAAGTGATGGCCCATCTTGCTCCTGTCTCTGAACACTGAGCTCCGCATGGAGAAGCAGCAGCAGACAGGTATTATGATTCCCATTGATGACATGGGACTGGAGAACAGAAGGCAGGGACCTGGCACAAGTATTCCATCCTCCAAGGCAGGATCTTTACTCCTCAGAGAGGACTGGCCCAGGAGGCCACAGACGTGATGGACATGGTCTTCATCCAGGCAATGTGAGGTTCAAAAGCAAGGAAGGTGACCACCATGTCACCACACCATTTTGTGAGTTCCCCTCTCTAACTCCCTACCCTTGCTAAAGAGCAAAAACTCTGAACGCCAGCTAAAGGGAAACAGACTGGCATAATCATGCCTTGTCGCTACTGAAAAGCATAAAACCATCCGAGAAAAAACACAGAACCCGGCCCAACCCCCAACATTTTGACACAATGTTTGGAAAGATCAGCATCACTCTAGAACCTGGGAACATGAATTATTCTAAGGACAAGACACCTGTCCAAAGAAATAATCATTCTGTTCGTTTAGTTAATGGGTATCCAGTGCCTTCTGTGGGGGTCTCACTGGATGCTGGGGAAAGGAGCATGGAATTGTAGGATAATGGCGGATCAAGCACTTGAGTGTAAGGCTGGGGATGTGGCTCAGTGGTGGAGAGCTTGCCTGGCATGTGTGAGGCCGTAGTTTGATCCCCAACACCACAAAAAATAAAATAACTTTGTAAGGAACACAACAGGAAGTTAGAGGCTTCTGAGAAGTGACATTCAGGACAAGAGAAAGGAAATGTAGGGCCTGGGTAGGTTTTTCAGGGAATTATCTCTAGGAGCCATATGCTGGGTGTTGTAATCCCCATTTTTCAGATGCAGAAAAGGAGGCACCAAGAGAGGAAGTAGTCTGACAGCCCGTTGCCCATAGCCTTGCAAGTCATTGTCATACAGCCTCCCTGGCATCTTACTCTGCCCTGTAACACCAACAGCAACATGTCCAATGTCAGCTCTGATTGTTTTGACACTAATCCACAAACCCTCTGACTCCACTTGCCACCCTGACCCTAGCTGTGGCTCCTGGTGTGCCTGGAGTGAGCTCACTGTCAGGCCCCTTTCCCTTCCCATACAGTGGTAGAACACGAGCCCACGTCTGAGAAGTGGTTCCAAGTGGGCCACGGGAATTCAAGGGAGAATCAGCAAAGGCTGAGGATTCAGGGAGAGCTGGCTAGGAAAGGGCAGGATACAGATAGATCTGAAAGGGGAGGAGAGGGCAGGCCAGTCATGGAAGGCCCAGGAGCAAAGAACTGAGCATGGCTGCAGCCTAGAGGAGAGGGAATACAGAGAAAGCAGCTTCGCAATTTGCAGGCAGCCTTGGGTCTACAGGAGGAGGCTGGAGTCTGGTCCTGGGGAAAGGCCTAAGCTCTCCAGGAGATCAGCAGGGCCCAGCAGGAGAGAGATGGGTATCTGAGACCAGAGCAGGAGCCATATGCTCTGTCCCCATGGCAGCTTCTCTTTCAGGTCTCCCTGGGTGATGTGCTTCTAACAGTTCTGCTGAAGAAGGATGGGAAGCCTGCCCAGCCGAAGGAAAACCCTGCCAAGCCCAAGTTCCAGCCCTCCTGTCCCAGGCCAAGGACCTGAGCCCATGCAAGCAGGTAGGCTGTGGGGCCCAGGCAGGCAGCACGAGGCTGCACAGTCCCACACTCCACTACCTCTGTGCCTTCATGACAGGCAACACCTGCACATCACTAGTTATAGACCCAGCACCTACTGTTCTTCTTAGTGAGCCATGAAGGTGGGGGCCCTTCTCCTATGGAGATTACTTTGAGGTAGAAACATTGAACGGCCAGATAAAGGAGAAAACACGAGGGGCTGGGGCATAGCTCAAGTGACAGAGCTCATGCCTAGCATGCACAAGGCCCTGGGTTAGATCCTCAGCACTGGAAAAAAAGTAACTCAGTTCCTCAATCACACGAGCCACATTTCAAGGATTTGGTAGCCACATGGAGCTAATGGACCTTATTGGAAAGCACAGAATATAAGACATTTCCAACACTGCAGAAAATTCTCCTGGACCTCAGAAGAACTGTGAAATACTTGATGCAAAATCAGGGCTCCCTTACTGGTGGGAAAAATAAAATAGCACCTGCAGTATATATCCTGAGCCTATGACCATGATTCTCTAAGACAATTCTGACTAAGAATACCAGCTTTTAAAACAGTTGGGCAATTTAAATATCCTAGAAATTTTAGTATTTTTACATCAAAACCATGGCCTCTGGTTTATCTCTTGTTCTTTGAAACATCCCATAAATCCATTTTCAAATCACATCCTGATTTGGAGTTTGGATAAAGTATTAGGGGCAGGGGCTGTAGCTCGGTGGTAGAGCGCCTGCCTAGCATGAGGCCCTGGGTTTGATCCCCAGTACCGTGAAAAAATAATAATAATAATAATAATTAAGGAAAGAGAACCAAAAGGGTAGTGGGGGAGAGATATCCATTGTTAGGAATCAGCTCACATGAGTATGGGATTGTCAAGTCTGAAGTCTGCCAAGCAGGCTGCAGACCTGAGGGGAATCGGTGCTATGGTCCTGAGTCCAATGGCAATCCACAGGCAGAACTAATCCATGTCCTCAAAGGACCTTGGGTATCTCTCATAAGGCCCTTGATTGATTGAATGAGGCCCACCCATGATAATCCACTTTACTCAGTCTACCAATTTAATTTTTTTTAAGAGTATCTTCACAGCAACATCTAAACTGGTGTTTGGCCAAATATTATCTGGGTACTGTGGCCAAGCCACAATGACCCATAGAATTAACCTCACAGATAACAAGATCACTCCAAGCCAAGCCATGCTTCTAGAAGGACGTGGGCAATTAAGCTGGACTAGAGACTGCAAAGCTGTCTGGGTATCAAGGTTTGGGTAGGAGCTGTCCCCAACCCCCAAAATTCCCCTATGGTGCAGGGCTTCCTTCCCTCTCCTCTGCCTGAATCCCTTATTTTCCTAATGGTTGCCTCTCCCAGGCCCACAGGCCTTGGCACCCTAGGTCCCAGAGGTTTCCTATTGGGTCAGGAAAACAGTTGCCTCCTTGTAGCTACCATCTGCACTGAGAGGCCCTGCAGAAAGAGACCTGCAAACCACAAACCTCCACCTTGGCTTCCTCCAAGCCTAGCCACAGGCAGCATCCTGAGGCTGCTCTGAGACATGCCCAGGGCTACTGAGGGTGGTGACCACTCCTGTTGTACAGGGCCCTCCTTGCCTGTGGGGCCCTAGGTGAGCCAGGCTCTCCCTGGCATAGTATCTCCAGGGAAGGAGGGAGGAAGGAAAGGAACACCTCTCAGTAGATCTGCCCCTGTCCCAGCCAGAGTGTGAGTTTGGGGTCACTCCCTCCAGGAGCTATCTGTCCATCAACTTTGCCTCCCTCTTAAGCCTACTGAAGCTCAACTGCAAACCAGTCCTGTGCCAAAACCTGAAGTCACAGCAATGAACAGGCAGGCATAGTCTCTGTCTTTAGGGACAGTTGAGCCCCAGAAACAAACCGTGAACCAATAATGACAGTTGTGTTCAATTTGGCAACTGCATGCTCAGAGAGACTCTGAGATTGTGCGAAGAGGGCCAAGTCAGGGCTGGCTTTCTGAGGAGGTGAAGGGTGAAATCAAGTCAGCCAGTCTGAGTGGGGACAATTGTGAGAGGGTCAGGCCTTCCAGAAACAGGAGGGGCCCTTCCAGGCCTCTTTGTTCCACTCTTGTGGAGTGACCTCCGTAAGACTTGTGTTGTTTACTCAAGCAGCAGGCATTTCCCTGCACCATGGGCTGGCTAGGCTTGTGCTACAAAGAGCACTCAGAGATGGAGAGGCCTGGTTCCTGAGGAATGCCCCCCCCCCAAGGGATCTATCTCAGGGGGTGTCTTCGAGGACATGTGGGAAAAAGTTCATTCTGAAATCCGTCTCACTCTTCCCTTGGCCACCCATGGCAGAGACCCTTCAGCCACCTCCCAACCTCTGGGTCCTTGTCTGTCCATCTGTGTCTGCCTCTCCTTGTCTAGACCAACTCCATCTCAAAGGCATCTCAGAGTCCTCAGACCTTAACTCCTCCAGGAACATCTAGGAGACCAATGAATCCTTCTTGCTGACCTTGTGCTTTTAATAGCTTAATGAATTTAGGTGCTAACAAGTCTTTCAGGGACCATCCCTAGAAAGGATCAGCAGGGTAGGATGCAAATGAAGAAGTTTCCAGAAACCACTGAAGGCAAGTTTTTCAGACCTAGAAGTCCCTGCATACATAGTGGGGTCTTGTTAGACTGGGTAGGCTGATCCCTGAGGTGGGTGGGGGATGTTAGTCGTGTGCTAAGAGAGCAACTTGCTGCTTGAGGCTCAGCCTCAAAGTTGGGCCTCCTAGCTACCACATCCTCAGAACCATTCCCAGGCCAGTAACTCCCCTGTGTAGATCTCAGCCTCCTAAGGCGATGGAGCCCCTCCTGAGAGAGACATTGCTACCCAAGCCCTTCTCCTCCTACCAGGATGGTGTGATGTAGAGTCTGTGTTCTCACTTCTCCTCTGAGTGCCTGTCAGGGCCCCAGACCTCCCTGAACAGTGGGGTTGAGTAGAGAGGACCATCCAGGAGGGCTGACTGAAAGCCCTCACTGGGCTGGACATACAGGTGCTCAGAGAGTGTCAGTGGGGAGGAGGCCTAGAACTTTGGCAGCCCCCAACTCCAGCGTGGCACCTGCTCTGGGGTAGGCCTGGAACAGGGGTCTGGAGCGGCCTCTCAGGGGGCAGCACAGACCTCCTCCTACTGCCCTGAGCAGCACAGCACCTTAGAGTTACAGAGCCTATTCATATCTGTCAGCTCACAGGCCCCTCCACAAGCCTGAACAAGTCAACAGGTCCAGGAATGAGGGGAGCAGTGGGGTCCCACAGTGGAAGGGAAGGTGGCTTTCACTTTCCAGTCCTTTTCTCCTATCTCCCAAGAGTGAATGCTCAGGGCTGGTGCTCGGCCATGCCTGCCTCAGGGCTCCAGGGACCCAGGCTCAGCTGCTAGCCTGGCCTGAGTTTCCTTCCCCAGTTTTCAGAGGTCGTGCGCACTCATAGTACCCGTCGCATCAGCAGAAACTAAGACCACACTCATACTTGCTTAGGGTTTCTAGGAGTTTTGTTTTTGTTTTTTGTTTTGTTTGTGCTGGGGATCAAATCCAGGGCTCTATATGCCAGACAAGTACCCTAACACTGAGCTGCATCCGCAGACTAGGGTCGTAGGTTTTGAGTTTCTGAGCAGCAGAATTACTTCATCAAAATCTCTGTGAAGAGTGTGGCACAGTGAATATACAAGGGATTTTAATATACAAGGGATTGAACCAAACAGCACTTAACCACTGAGCCACATCCCTTACCCATAACCCCAGTGACTCAGGAGACTGAGGCAGGAGGATCACATTCAAAGCCAGGCTCAGCAACTTAGTGAGGCCCTAAGCAACTTAGTGAGACCCTGTCTCAAAATAAAAAAGGGTAGGGTGGGGCTGGGGTTGTGGCTCAGTGGTAGAGCGTTCACCTCACACGTGCAAGACCCTGGATTCGATCCTCAGCACCATATAAAAAAAATAAATAAGTGAAATAAAGGTATTGTGCCCAACTACAACTAAAAAATAAATATTAAAAAAAAGGGTGAGGGATGTGGCTCAGTGGTTAAGTGCTCTTTGGTTCAATCCCTTGTATATTAAAAAAAAATCTCTGTGAAGAGTTGTATATAAAAAGGAGTCATAAGGGCTGGGGTTGTGGCTCAGCATGTGTGAAGGCCTTGCCTAGGACGTGTGAGGCCCTGGGTTTGATTTTCAGCACCACATATAAATACATAAAATAAAGGTCTATCAACAACTACCAAAAAAAAAAAAATTAAAAAGGAGTCATAACCAGGAGCCCCATTCCTCTTTGAACTCAGAAACTCAAAACCTTCTTCTTGCTACATGAGTTTGAAGCCCCCATGAGGACCCCAAGAACTACCTGGGCACCCCCAAGCTCAACAGAGCCCCCTGGAAGAACTTCAGACTCCAGGTGGCCTTCCTGCAGGGTGCCTGGGAGAGGGTGAAAGAGGGAGCCAGACCCAGACCAGATGTCACTAGACCTCATGTCTGGAAGGAAGGCTGACCAGGAGAGTGACTGTCTATCTCTCCATCCAGAGAAGAGCAAGGCCACAGCTGTGGCTCTGGGCAGTTTCCCGGCAGGCGGCCAGACTGAGCCGTCTCTGAGACTAGGAGAGCCATTGACCATCCTGTCTGAGTAAGTCTGTGGGCTCGGGCACCTGGAGATGCACTAAAAGGGGAGAGGTGCTTCAGAAAAAGCCTGAGGCCTTTTCTGAAAACCTCGCAGGTGATCATAGCCTTGTCTGGGGTTTTAAGCAGCTTGACTACCTGCAGGGAGAGACAGAGGGGCTGGGGCCTTGGAACAGGGAGTTTTGGCTCATGCAATCTGCTAGCCACCCTGTCCAGGAGGGGTCGGGACTGGCTGGTGGAAACAGGTGGCTGCAGGAGTCAGCCTGAGAGGATCCGTGTGAACCCCAAGTAAGCAGTCCCAGGGTCTTGACCCTTCTGAAAGAGGTGCCCTCTCTGCTTTCTCTTTCAGGGATGGAGACTGGTGGACAGTGCTGTCAGAAGTCTCAGGGAGAGAGTACAATGTCCCCAGCATGCACGTGGCCAAGGTCTCCCACAGGTGAACACACTCTCACCCCTGCCTGCCTTCGGGGATCTCCTTCCCTCAAGCCTGCTCCCCCATGGCCACCCCCAGCCGGACACTGAGTGAAGCTGGGGAGTGAGAAGCAGGCCCAGGCTCTGCTCGGCAGGAGCAGAGAGCAGCAGATCTGGGGAGGTGTCTGGGGAAGGCCCCCCAGAGGAGGTGTCCTGGTCAGGGGCTCTGGAGAGCATCCAGGATCTAGTGGTGGAGAGTGTGAGAGGTGGGCACAGTCTGTAAATGTCTTGAGGCAAGAAAATGGGGACAGTTCTTAGGAAGATGAGGACTTGGAAAGGTAAGAGGAGAGATACGGGGTGCTGGGGGACTGGGCCACGGTGGGAGAGAGGCTGGGATCACCCTAGAGGGAATGAGGCCTGCAGCAAAAAACACCAACTGACCCCTTGGTTGTTCTCCTGCGCCCCTATAGCTAGGACAAACTGGAGGGGATCTGAGTCCCTGAGGCCTGCTCTTCATGGTGCAGAGAGAACTGTGAGACCCAGAGTGCAAGGGAGAGAGGGGGCTGCATCAAGGTCACACAGAGCAGTGGAGGGTTCCAGTAAGATCTTCATGGCCCATCCCCAAGTCTCCTTGCCCTTCCTCCTCCAGGTGGCTGTATGAGGGCCTGAGCCGGGAGAAGGCGGAGGAACTGCTGCTGTTGCCTGGGAACCCTGGAGGGGCCTTCCTCATCCGGGAGAGTCAGAGCAGGAGAGGTGGGTGAAAGGCCCCAGCCCTCCTGTGTAGAAACAGCCTAGGAAAGAGTCACTTAGGAATGAGGGTAGACCAGGGCCTGCCCTTATTTGAACTGACTGTGACAGGGTCACAGGATTCTTAGTCCTCTACCTCAGTCTCTCCCTGGAGCCCCATCCAATATATCTTTGCCTCTTTTCTCCTTCCCTAGGGAGCTCCCTAGGTTGACCTCTTCCAGCCCCTCCTGCTAATTTCTTGGCCACAACAACAACCCCACCCCCGCCCCCATAAGCTGGCTGGGGCAAGAGGATGGCCCCTGTGCAGCCGCTGGGAACAGGAAACCACAGCAGTGGTGCTGATGGGGACTGGCCCTGCAGACCAACAGGGTGAGCCAGCTGGAGAAGCCACAGGAAGTGCTCCGTGCTCAGTTACCCTACCCCTTCTCTGGCCTGGTTTAGCCCCAGAATCAGGTGACTGGCCCTTGTGGTCACTCTGCCCTTTCCAAAGAAGACATATATACAAGAGAAAAATGGTCAACTGTAAAGGAGAAAGCCCACAGGAATCCATAAAGATCTTTAAGGATCCACATAATTGCTGGGATTAAGGTCCCCATAGGCAACTGCAAAAGGGGGTGCCTCGGTGTGCAGCTCTCATCAAAAAGGGAAACATGTAGGGGCTGGGGATATGGCTCAGTTGGTAGAGTGCTTGCCTCGAATGCAGGAGGCCCTGGGTTCAATCCCCAGAACCACCACCTATAAATATCTAGATAGATACATAATAATGATAAAATAATAACAGCTGGGTCCCCTCACCCAGAGGGGACCTTGGCTGCAGGGTGGAATCACCAGGGGAAGATTTAGAAACTCTGGATGCCTGCAAGCCATCTGTTTAATTTCTGATTTAAATTACTCAGGAATTCATCCTGGGCTTTGGAAAATGAAAGTGTGCCCCCACCCCCAGGAGACTCTGAGGTACAGCCAGCATCAGTGAGAGAGAGCAGGGCAAGATTTAGAAACTGGCAGTGCAGGCCAGGCTGGGCAAACCCGCTGCAAACACCACTGCAGGCAACTTTTGTTTGAGGTATTTATTTATAAGTAAATGTGTCCTGGGTCACAGTGTAAAATGTTATTCAGTGGTTTGTGGTAAAAAAAAAAAAAAAAGTTTTTGAAAGCAAAGTTCTAGGGACCCAGGCAACATCATGAGATGGTGGTTCTCAGATCCCAGCCTATAGGAGACATCAGGGAACTGGTCAGCAACATCAGCTCTTGGGCCTTGCCACCCACCTACTGATTCAGGCTGCTAGGGACAGAGGCCAGAAATATGCTTCCTTTTTAAGCTCTCTGGATGCTTCTGCTGTTCTCTTAAGTATGAAAAAATAGTTCTAATCTAGGGAATTCAGAAGGAAATAAGGACACAACGTCAGGCTGGGGGCGTGGCTCTATGAAAGCTCCTGCTAGGCTTAGACAATGTCTTTTACTCTCACCTTATGCATCTTGTGTTTATATAATGAGAATTAACTGTTGACTGAGTCAGTGACAGCAGAATTAGCTTTCCTGGGGCCAAAGTCCAAAGACTGGAAGGGTACTCTGCAGGGGCTGTAGTCTATGTAGACCAAGGTGGAGGGTCTGGGACCCTGAGCTCCCAGGAGCAGCAATCAGGCCTGAGGATGAGGAGAGCTCCTGCATCTCCCCCAGAGTCCTCGGACTCACCTGGTCTTGCTCTAGGCCTGTGGAGAGCCTTATTCTAGGCTCAAGTAGGGCCCAAGACCTCGGTTATTAAGCAATTTTGTGGAGCCTTTGCACATGTGATTAAGTTAAAATTATTGTTATGAACCACCCCCTCCCCTAGGTTCTGGGGATCAAGCCTAGGACCTTGCACATGCTTGGCAAGTGTCCTACCTCTGAGCTACATCCCCAGTACCAAGTTAAGGATTTTGAGGTGGGAAGATGGTCTTGGATTATCCAGATGTACCCAATGTAATCACAAGGATCCTTACAAGAGAAAGGCAGGAGAGTCAGAATTAGAGATTGGAAGGTGTCACTGGCTTGGAAGATGGAAGAAGAGGCTCTGAATGAAGGAATGCAGGTGGCTTCTAAAAACTGGAAAAGACAAGGGAATGAGTTCTCCTCTAGAGCATGCAGAAGGATCATAACTCATGCTGACACCTTAATTTAATTAATTAATTAATTAATTAATTAAGACCAGGGATTGAACCCAGGGATGCTTAACCACTAAGCAACATCCCCAGCCACCGCCCCCCACTTTTTTTTTTTAATTTATTTTTTAGTTCTAGGCGGACACAACATCTTTGTTGGTATGTGGTGCTGGGGATCGAACCCCGGGCCGCAC